GGAAATGTGTTTGCAGTCACCACCCTGCATATCCCAACTCTCGGGCTTCAAACTTCCCAATGTGCTCCCCATGAGCCGGCCCCGAGGATGGAAAAGCTTCCCTGGACACCCCCCACATCCTCACCCTCCAGAACAGGGAAAAGGGGGTTGCTCTGCTAATCCCACTGGATCCAAATACTCCAAGGGCAGGAAAAGCAATGCCAAGCTGGCAGCAAGGGGTGGCACTAAGAGTGATGGGGTGGGCACAGAGATTATTATCCATCAGCTCCCCAGGTTGAAGCCCTGGCAGCTCCCACTTGCTGGGCCACAGCAAGCATGAGGGAAGCGACGGGAAGGCGGCTGAGGTCCTGGTGTGTGTTGGCACATTCTCCGGAGGAGAAGGAGGAATGTTCCCTCCTTACCTCCTCGCTGATCTCCTGCAGGATGGAGGGCTGCAGCTGCATGGCCTTGAAGAGCGTCCCCACCACGCAGCACTTCTCTCCTGCCTGCAGCTCGCAGAGCTTCCTCAGTGCAATGTCATCCCCTGCGGAGAGAACCGGGGCTCAGGCACGCGACGTGAGGCAGTGAGGGAACGGGGGGAAGGCTCCCACTCATCCTCAAGGCACAGAGCTCAGCTCACACGTGTGGGCCAGATGGGGCCAGCAGAGCACAACCAAGAGGCAGCACTGGTGGAGGGGAAGCTGGGCCATGCCCAGCAATTCCCAGGAAAGGAGGGAGCATGGAATGGGGACTGGTGTGCTGGGCACACAGCTGGTGCTCTTGCCCCTGGGCATGCAGGGCTGGTGCTGCTGCTCTCCACCAGGAGATGACACAAACATCCCACTTGGGTTGAACAGGCAGGAGAGATCATTTCCCCCTGTCAGGAACGGATCCTCCACCCACGATCTCCATCACAGCCAGCAACATTTGGGGAGATCCTAATGTGAAGGCAGTGGCAGGAAAGGCACAAATGGGATCCCCAGAGGAAACCAGGCCAGGAACCAATCTGTGCCTCAGCAGCACAGCCCCAGCACTCCATCACCTCTGCAGGCAGAACCCACATCTCCCCCACCACAAGCTGAGCCCCATCCTGTACGTGTCTGTAGGACTTTTATCTCCTGCTGTTTAAACCAGCCCGTGAAGCCCATCCATGCCTCCATCCATGCCTCCACCTCCACCCTGCAGCGAGCAGGACTGGCTGCCAGGCGCTGCCGCTCTCCTCTCCCAGAACAACACTGCCAGATCCCGCTCTGTGCCGGCTCCTCCAGCCTTGCTATGTGCCGGGGGGGTGACATTTACCCCCCCAAAACCTCTCCCTTTGCTCATCACGCGCCTGCTGAATGTGACTCCCGTCCATGGGAAGGGCCCTGCTGGGCTCACAGGCAGCCGGGGCTCAGCAGAGCTGGAAACACAAGTTCATCCATCCCAGGAATGCAAACACTCGGCGTCAGGAAAAACAATCCGGGGTTGGTTTCTTATTCTTGGCTCTCCCCCCCAGCTCAGGGGGAGGGGGCTGCACTCTGCAGACACAGACCCAGAAATCCCATCCCATGACTCCACACGTGGAGCTTTAGGAAACCGCTGGTTCCCGTCACCGCAGCCCAATCCAGCTCTGTGGAAGCGGCGCAGCCTCAGCTCCACACAGCCCAGGGGCTGGGGAGAGGAAGGAAAACAAGCGGCCAGCCCAAAAAGCTCCTTAGAAGGGCAAAACCGAGAACTCGGCTGGGCCAGGAAGGTGGAATTCAATCATGGGCTTTACCACGCCAGAGGAGCCGTGGTTTCAGGAATGCTGGAACACTGCCTAGCAGGGAAAACATTCCCAGGAACACGTGTGGGGTATTCGACCCTCAAACGTGTGTGTAAGGTGAGGAAACCAGAGGGGCTGTGTGAGCCTGAGGGACCTGGGGAATTGGGACCATGTGAACACCATGGACTTCAACAAGGCCATGGGCAGGGTCCTGTCCCCAGCACAAGCCCAGGCTGGGGGCGACTGGATGGAGCAGGCTGAGGAGAAGGACTTGGGGGTGTTGGATGAGAAGCTCCCCATGGCCTGGCTTCAGTGAGTGCTTCAGACCAGAACCTCCCCGTGTGCTGGGCTGCAACGGCAGAGTGTGAGCAGCAGCTGAGGGAGGGGATCCTGCCCCTCTGCTGAGCTCTAGGGAGATGCCCCCCCCAGCCCTGATCCAGCTCTGGGGCAGCAGCACAAGAGGAACATGGAGCTGTTGGAGGGAGGCCAGAGGAGGCCACAGAGCTGCTGCGAGGGCTGGAGCAGCTCTGCTCTGGAGCCAGGCTGAGAGAGCTGGGCTGGGGCAGCCTGGAGAAGAGAAGGCTCCTGAAGGGGAGACCTGAGAGCAGCTCCAGTGCCTAAAGGGGCTGCAGGAAAGCTGGAGAGGGGCCTGGGACAAGGGATGGAGGGACAGGCCAAGGGGAATGGCTTTAACCTGCCCGAGGGGAGACTGAGCTGAGCTCTTAGGCAGAAGCTCTTCCCTGTGAAGGTGCTGAGGCGCTGGCACAGGGTGCCCAGAGAAGCTGTGGCTGCCCCATCCCTGGCAGTGCTCAAGGCCAGGTTGGACACAGGGGCTTGGAGCAAGCTGCTCCAGTGGAAGGGGTCCCTGCCCGTGGCAGGGGTTGGAGCTGGGTGAGCTTTAAGGTCCCTTCCAGCCCAACCCAGTCTGATTCTACGAAGCTCCCAGTGCCCTGGCTGTGGGGCTCTGTCCTCCTGCCCCACAGACGGGGTTTCTCCACTCACCCCACTTGCTCCGCGCGCGCTCCTGCAGGATGGGCCGCATGCGGGCCAGGCGCACGGCGTAGATGTGAGCGTACTGGTGCCCGAAGCTGCGCTCGCCCAGGCGGAAGTTCTGCGACTGATCCGTGTACTCCGACAGCGGCACCCGCGCGAACTTGGGGGGCTCGGCCGAGGGGGGGCTCAGCAGCCCCTGCGCCGTGGGGGCCGCCCGCTCCGAGAACATGGTGGGTGCTGGGGGGGCAGGGACTGGGAAAGAGAACGGGAACACTCAGGATACAGGCACCTTTCCGGACCCCAAAACACGTCGCGCGCCCCGCAAAAATACTGCCCTGGACCCCCAAAACAGCCCCGGACCCCCCGAAACACTGCTTTGGACCCCCTGAAACAACCCCGGATCCCCCAAACAACCACCAGACCCTCCAAAATACTGCTTTGGACCCCAAAAATAACCCAGGACCCCCCCAAACACTGCTTTGGACCCCCTGAAACAACCCCGGACCCCCCAAACAACCCCGGACCCTCCAAAACACTGCTTTGGACCCCAAAAACAACCCAGGACCCCCCCAAACACTGCTTTGGACCCCCTGAAACAACCCTGGATCCCCCAAACAACCTCGGACCCTCCAAAACACTGCTTTGGACCTCCCAAAACAACCCCAGATCCCCAAAACACGGCCCCGGACCCCAAAAACAACCCTGGGCCCCCCAAAACACTGCCCTGGACCCACAAAACAACCCCGCCCCCACCAAAACACTGCTCCGGACACCCCAGAACAACCTAGGACCCCCAAACAGTGTCCCGGACTCCCGAAACAACCCCGGACACCCCCCAACACTGTCCCGGATCCCCCAAAACAACCCAGGACCCCGCAAAAAAACCCGGACCCCCTAAAACAAACCCAGACCCCCCCAAACACTGCCCCGGATCCCCCAAAACAACCCCGGACCCCCCCAGACAACCCCGGACCCCCCCCCAAAACAACCCCGGACCCCCCTAAACAGCCCCGGATCCCCCAAAACAACCCCGGACCCCCCCAAACAACCCCGCCCCCCCCCAAAACCACCCCGGACCCCCCTAAACAGCCCCGGACCCCCCGAAACAACCCCGGACCCCCCCAAACAACCCCGGACCCCCCCAAAACAACCCCGGACCCCCCAAACTCTGCCCTGGAACCCCCAACCATCCCCCCGGCACCGGGACCTCCCCCGAGCCCTCTCAAGCACCAGGACCCCACAGAGCCCCCCCCCCGGTACCCCTGTTCTCACGTTCCCCGGAGCCCAGGTCACGTACGGGTCAGAGGTCAGGGGTCAGAGGTCGCGGTCCCGGTATCACGGACCCGCCATGAGGGGGTTGTGGGGGGTGGGGAAAGGGAAAAGGCGCGAACGGCGGCGCCACCGGCGGAAGTGGCGTAGCCGCGGAGCGGAAGTTGCGTCAAGGCAGCGGGGTCGCCGTGGCAACCGCTGGAGGCGTTACCATGGGAACGCGAGGGCCGCGGGGGGGGGGGGGTACCGGGATCCAGAGGGCCCCATCGCCATGGGGGTGCATGAGAGGCACTTGGGGGTCCCGTGCCCCCAGGAGGGGGTGCCCCTCCCTGCACTGGGGACATGGCAGCGCCCTGGGGACACCAGGAGGGCTCTGGGGGTGCGGAGCTGATCCCTCCCCGGGGACACTGCAGAGGGATGGATGGGGGTGCTCAGAGGGACCCCAAGGGGTGCCCCATCGCTGGGGGTCACCTGTGTGCCCCTCTGTGTGGGGTGGGCTGGGACCTGCTGGGTTTTGGGGGGCTGGGGGTGGGATTTAGCCCTTGGTGGGGTCAGTGCTGCAAGGGGGTGTTTGGGTGCCCCCCCCCCCCGTCTTTAATGTGGGGGGGATCCCCAAAACTCAGTGCCTCTGGCACAGCTCTGGTGCACCCCAGTTGGTCTCTGCACCTTGGGGGCCCCTGTTCTCCATCCCAAATGCCCCCCAGTGCCCTCAACCATCTCCTTGTCTCCCAGCCAAGCCACCTGGGGGGGTCTCCCCAGAGCTGGGGGAGGACGCAGGGGGCTGGGAAGGCACAAGAGGACCTTCAGTATCCCCACACGTGTGGGGCAGCCCCATGGTAGGGGAGACGAGGAGCTGAAGCAGCCCCGGAGGAGAAGTCCATGCAAACCCCGTTTATTGGGGAGCTGCCTCCACCAGTGGCAAATCCCGCGTCCGTGTGTGCTCCACGCAGAGCTGTGAGCGGGACCAGCGGCCTCCCACCCCCTCCATCATCATCATCATCATCATCATCATCATCATCATCATCATCATCCTCATGCTGCTGCTGCCCGAGTCCTCTCTCACTGCCCCATCATGCAGGCCATCTTGCAGGCGACGGCGGAGATGAGCGCGGCCCCGCGCCCGCTGCCCTCCTCCGACTGGATGAAGGTGATGTCGCAGCCGGGCGTCAGCTGCCGCACCGTGGCATGGAACCGGTCCTTGAAGCTGCCGGAGCAGGGAAAACCACGGGATCAAAGGCAGGACAAGGAAGGGGACGGCGGCGGGAGGGAGGCTCCCGGGAATCCTCACCTGGGATGGAGCTTGTAGACGGAGCCGTCGACACCGACGGTGATCTTGAGGGTGTCCTGGCTGCGGCTCTCCCGCATGCGGTTGATGACCCCGGCCAGCCCGGCCGAGCACATCTGTGCCGCGCGCGTGGACACGCTCTCGCACACCATGCGCACGATGTCGCAGTCCGTCCTCGAGGGCAGCAGCTCGAAGGAGGTCAGGATGTTGTAGATCTGCTTGCGGTCATCTGAGTCGCTGCGGCGGGGACGGAGGGGTCACCCAAGGGAGGGGGAGCTGCTGGGACCCCGTGTGGGGCTGGTTTGGGGGGGCTGCCCCTTGCCATACCTCTCGATCTGGGACATGAAGCGGGTCTCGAAGGTCCCGCGGGTCTTGAGCTTCTCAGAGGCTTCCCCGTTGAAGAGCAGGTTCTCATCCACCAGCTTCAGCAGCACCAACCGCACGATCTCCCCCATGTACTTCCCCCCGATGATCTTCTCATAGCTGGGAAGGGGGTCACAGGCTGTCAGGGTGGGATGTGGGGGACAATGTCCCTTGGCGCACCCCCCCTTTGCCAGCATGAAGGACCCAGCTTCAGGAGTGCCTGTGATGAGTTGCTCCGGCATCAGCCGAGCCCAGGGCCTGGGGAAGGAGCAGGGCGGGCACCAGGGATGGGGGACACCCAGAGGAATGGGATCTGTCCTATTCCTTACAGTTGCTGACCGGGGTTAAGTGAGGTCTCATCCACCACGCGGTCGTACTCCAGCAGGAACTCGTCCAGCTCCCCCGAGGCGCCGAAGGCTCCCCACTCCGTGTTGACACACATCCGGCCCTCGTCGCCCTCCACCAGCTCCACGTTCTGCATCTCCTCCATGTAACAGGCGTTACAGCCCGTTCCTGCCAGCGGGAATCAGGGATGGTGGGGACACCAGCACCCACCAGCACCCTCCAACACCCGCATTCCTCCCATATAAGCAGCTCCATGGGGCAGCTGGCGCCGTCCCCATCCCCCTGTGCTCGGGGAAGCTCAACCCTCCCACTCCTCTCTGGGCCTTGTCCCCGGTGGGTGCCGGTGCCGCGGTGCAGTGAGGGCAGCCGTGCCTCCGAGGAGCTGATAAACAGCCCAGCGCCGCAGCGCTGTGTTTACCCAGGCCGAGGGGAAGGTGCCAGATCCCAGATGGCCGCGTGCTTGCTGTGGAGCTGGGAGGTGCTGAGGGCTCAGACCATCCCCCTTCACTGGGTCCCTACCCATGGGGTGAGACCTTGGGGATGGACCCCTTGAGGTGACCAACCCCTTTGTACCCCATCACTGGGGCCAGGCGATGCCATGCAGTGTCCCCTGCTGCCACCCCCCCCGTCCTCACTGTGTCCTTCCAAAGGACAAGCTCCTGCCCACAGCAGGGGCCATGGGAAGGGTCGCCCCCTCCCTGCCGCGGTCCCTGTGGGAAGGGGCATCTTACCCACAATCATCCCAACCTCGCACCGGTGATCTTCGTAGTAGCAGGAGATCATCGTGGCCACCGTGTCATTCACCATCGCCACCACGTCCATCTCGAAGTCCTGCAGAGGGGAGAAGCACCCTCAGGGGCTGTCCCACAACAGGGTCTGGGGTGAAACACACCGGGCTCCAGCTGGGAATGCTGGGGTCTCCCTGCTGGCACAAACCCTGCCATCATCTCACCCCGCGGCGTTTGATGGCATCTCTCAGGAGCCCGACCACGTTGTTCCCTTCTGCGCCGGAGGCTTTGAAGCCCTTGGTCCAGTTCAGGAGGATGCCCTGGAGCAAGGGTAAGACTGAAATGGAGCTGTGGGTGCAGCTTGGAGACCCCCAAACCCTCGTCCTGCTCAGCCACCCCCTCACCTTGTCGATGTCCTCGTGCCGCACAGGGAAGGAGAAGGTGAAGCCCAGCGGCAGCTTTTTGTGCTTCATCTGGTGCTTGTCCAGGAAGTCGGAGATACACTCGGAGATGTAGTCGAAGAGCTGGAAGAGAAGAGGTGCTCACTGCCACCATCCCCACCACAGCTCCCCCGAGTGTGGCCACCTCCTGTTCTGGAGGGATGAGGGACGTACCGGTGGCACAGCGAGCCCAGCACAGTGACAAGGACAGCGTGGAGGGGATGGGGTGCCCTGTGTAACCTGCTCACCATCTCGGCTGTTCCCGTCATGGCATCCTCTGGGATGGAATACATCTGGTGCTTCGTCTTCACCTTCCACTGCCCTTCCTCCCCCTCGCCCACCTTCACCAGCATCACACGGAAATTGGTGCCTCCAAGGTCTAGTGACAGGAAATCTCCAACCTCTGCAGAGCCGGGGGGGGACAAGGGGTGACCGGCTCAGGGGGGATTCACACTGAGCCTGGTGAGCTCTGGGAGGATGGGACACAGCAAAGGACCAACCAGGAGCACCTGCAGCACCATACCTGAGCCCTCGGGTGTGGAGCGGACGTAGGTGGGCAGCATTTTGACAGAGGCTTCCTCGTGCGTCTCCAGCTTCAGCCCTCGGTCCATCTCCTTCTGCATCCGGTACATCACCTTCTTCAGGTCCTCCTCCTTCAGCCGGAACTCTGACAGGATCTGCTCCACCTGCGTGGAATGGGCGGCATCAGCTGGGGCCAGGGGGTATGGGACACTGGTGGCCTGAAGTGAAATAACTAACCCACATTTCCTCCCCCTGGCCCTGGTTTTCCCCATCAGACACCCTGAAACACCTCATCCCACCCCTGCTACCCTGATGGACGTGCTGGAGAACCCGCAGGACTGGCACAAACCACCACTGGCTCTGGATCCTTTGGCTGAAGGATGGTTGCATTGAAGACAACATCAGGACACGTGACCTTGGACATCCCATCCCACCAAATCCCAGGGTCTTTCCCAGCAAGGAGCGCTTCCAGAGATGCCATTTAGGAGCTCAGCAGCTTGCACTGAGGATGTGGGACTCCTCTGTGTCATGATGGGGATGCCAGTGGGATGCTCGGTCTGCCGGGAGCCGGGAGCATCCCTTCCCCTGTATTCCCGGGGAGCTGCAGGTATCTTTTCCAGCCTATCAAACCTGCTGTGAACAGGGAGCAGGACCACAGGCAGGATATTGGGAATGCTCTCAGGGCCCTCTCAAGGGGAGTGCATGGCAGGACCCGTATTTACCCTTCCTGCAGCAGCAGCCTCCATTAGGCACAGCCCATGCTCGGGGCAGCAGCCCGGGGCTGTCAGATGGAGCCGTGGGGAGCAGCGCTCGCTGCTTGGTGGCATTAGAGGGCTCATTAGTCACCGTGTTCCGGGCAAGCTCAGAGCACTCCCGCTTGCATTGTCACCAGCAGACGGATGTTTTCCTGGAGCCTGTGGCCGTTTCCCACTGTGTTTCAGGCTGGGAGGCTCTGCCCAAGCCTTTGGGATGTGGTTCGGAGCATCCCGGTGTTGGCACAGCATCCACGGCCTGACCCCCACTAAGTGAACCTGCCTCATGGACTGGCCCCAGACGCCATCCCTCGGCCTCCAGCACCCCCAGACTGTGGCTTGTCCCAAGTATCTCCTCGCCCTGAAAGCACCCAGTCTATCCTGGTGGGATTCCAGCACATAAGCACCTCTCCAGCCATCCTGCCTCGTCCAGGCTAGTGCAGGGGCTCCAGTAACACTGAACCCCCAAATAAGAAGCCAGAAGATGCGGCTGCACCATGGAGGATGCCACCGCCCCCCCTCAGAAGGGGCAGCTCTGTGGTGAGGTTCACTGTGACTCGGAGCGTGTTCAGCCCAGGATGGTTGGAAAAATCCTGCCAGGAAAAGCATGGAGCTGGTTTTGACCACCTTGCCTGAAGGTGTCCACTGTGAAGCTCTCCTGTGGCATCGAACACCAGGTTTGCTCCCGAGGCTCCGAGTTTTATTCCTGCCAGCTCATCCCTTCTCATGCCTCCAACACAATGGGTTTGGCTCTTCCTTGGTGGCATTTGGCTCTTCCCGTGCAACCAAAATGAGCTCTCAGCTTCTCAAGGGAACTGTTTGCTATGGCACATCCCGCAAAGGGGATAAAGCTGAAATCCACGTGGCCAAAGGCTGCGATACCTGGCGATGTCCAACGCTGCCAGCCCTCAGTACATGCCAGGTCCCCTTGGTGTCCCCTTGGATGTCCCTGTCCAGAGCAGGGAAGCATCTCGGTCCTTACCCACAGCCCCATGAGCTCAATCCATCCAGGAAAAGAGATAGGAGCAGCTTCTCCCAGCTGGTGTTTAGCTGGGGAAGAGCTGGGTGCCATCTGCCTGGGTGACAACAGTGACGGGCCCCATCTCATCCGGTGGCTGCTTGGCTGGCAGCAACGTGTGAATCCCAGGCAGTGGTGCGGTACCAGGGACGCTCCAGGCTCCATCCCGAGTTCTTGGTGCCATGGGGACTGGGCATGGCCTGTGCCATGCCAAGATCCAGCGTTCCAAAAGGCAGACCCCCAGCTTACAGCACACTGGGGCTGATTCCAGGCTGCCTGCGGCTGGTGTCTTCCCCTCCCTCTGCTTCCATCCCCAATGCCCGTGGGAGATGTCCATGGGGGTGGCTGGAAGTGCAGGGAAAATCCGCTTCCACCTTGTGCTCCCACCCCATCTCCCCATCATTCCCCCCAGCACTGCCCTGGCAGCGGCCTCACCTTCTCCCTCCTGCCGCTCTCCATCCTGGCTCTGTGATCCAGCATGGGGGCAGCCGTGGGGGCCGAGCAGCAGCGCCTGGCCCGGGAAGCAAGCCCCGTTCCCCGTCCCGCCGGGCGTGCTGCCGGCGCTGCGCTGCTCCGTGCCTCGCACCGCCGGAGGATGCTCCACTTTCGCCGCTTTATCTCATCCGACGCCTCTGCAGCACCCACGGAGGGGGGTCCCGCTCCCCCCCGACCTCCGGCCCCTCAAGCGCAGGGGCAGGGAGAGGGGCCCGGCGCCCCGGCGGGCTCAGCGCTCTCGCCCCGCATCCTCCGCACCGCTCACGCTCTCCGCACTCGCTTCCTTCCACCGGGGAGGTCCTTCGGGTGGGTTTGGGTCAGGAGCGCACCCCGGTGGGGTTGTCCGGCCGGCGGGAAAGTCCCGGTGCGGCGGCGAGGCTCGGCCCCGTCATGCGGAGCACCACGCCCGTGTCCCCGCTCCAGTTGTCATATCAACGGCTCGATGCGCTGCCCGCGGTGGCAAGCACTCCACCGGACGGCTTAGCAACCCAGCGCGCTCCCATGGAGACCGCGCCGGGCAGGAGGAGCCGGCGGCTGCATGGCAAAGGTTACGGCCGCCCGGCGAGGGGCGAGGGGAGTGCTCTGCGCCTCCGGGATGGGAAAGCGCCGGTGGTGCCGGGATTCACACCGGGTGCCACGGCGGAATGCGGGCAGCCACTGGTTTTCGGGGAGGGGGACACGGTGAGCCCCCCCCGTTGTCCCTGGATCGGTGCCGTCGGACAAGTACAGGGGGGCCCAAGGGGCAGTGAGGCTCGTGGGGGTCCCGATGAGCAATAGGATGCTCCTGACCACGGGTGAACCCCAAATCATCCCAGCGCTGACCCGTGGCAGCGTCTCCCGTCCCATGGAGCTGGGAAGGGCCAAGGGGGGTCCTCCGGAGGGGGGGGAGGATGGGGGGAGCCGCAGACACTGGGCTGCGCTGTGGGGAAGGCGGAGGGTTTGGGGGTGTCACTGCAGGGCCGGGGGGCCCGGGCTGCCCCACAGGGGGCGAAGGGGCGCCGGTATCCCAGCGCCCGCCCGGTACAGCGCCCCCCTCTGGCAGCCCTGCGAAAGAAGCCCCGCCCCCCCAGCACACGTATGGCGCTGATTGGTCACTCAGCTCGGAGGCGTGTCCAACGTGATGGGCGTGGCCTGAGGTCGTGAGACGGGCTGTCATTGGTTAATATTCCGAGGGAAGGGCGGGGCGGAGCCGGCGCCCGCGCAGGGAGGAGGAAGCCCCGTGGCAGGGTCCTGCGCGTGACGTCACTTCCCGCAGCCGCGGTTCCACGTCCGGGTTGAGCTCGGTCCGCTCCCGGCCACCGCCTCAGAGCCGCCGGTACCGGATGAAGGGGAGCTGGGGGGACCGGGACCGGATGGGTTGGGTTGGATCGGACCGGGGGGGGGGGTGTGGGTCTGACCGGGGGGGTCTCACCGCTGGTCTCGTCCCTCCCTCCGCGCAGGAGCCGCCGCTATGAGGCTCTACAGCCTCAGTGTCCTGTACCGGGGCGATCCCAAGGTGCGGCTGCTGAAGGCCGCCTACGACGTGTCCACGTTCAGCTTCTTCCAGCGGTCCAGGTGGGTGCGGGAGCGCCGGGGGACACCGGGAGAAGGGAGAGGGTCCCCGGTGCGCTCCGGGAGGGGAGCTGTGGCCCCGCGTACGCGGTCTGAGGGTGCTGGAGCCCCCCCCGAGCCCTCCTCCAGCTCCGTTTGCCGCAGGAGCAGCCCGTGGCCGGCAGCAGGAGGCCGGGTTTGAGCCGCAGAGCCTCTGCCCAGCGGTGGGAACCCCCTGGTGCTGGGAGGAGGCTGCTCTGTGTCAGGCCGTCGGGGCGCGCCCCACGCCTCCGCTGCCCTTTCATTTACGTGCTTGGGCTCAGCCAAAGCATTCCCCAGCCCTCAAACCCTGCTGGGGTCATTGCGGCAGCGCCAGGTTGCTCATGGAGCTCTCCCAGCAGCTCCTAAAAGCCTCTAAATGTGTAAAATGAAGCAGGTTTCTGCTGTGGAGCAGGTGGGTTCTAAGCACCCTGCTCCAGATGCTAAAGGCTTTAGGAAATGGCCACAGGACTCACATTTTCCATGCCATGTTCCTGCCAAGTCCTCATGGAGCCTCCAGCGCGACTGGTTCTGCAATTGCAGGGATAAAGGGAAAATACCAAACTAAGAGCAGCTGAAAGCCATGCTTGGCTTAGCCAAATGTGTGAGAGGGATAAAGGGGCTGTGCCGGCGCTTGAGGCTGGAGTGCAGCGGCTGAAATAATCACTGAACAATCCTCACTACTTCATGCTTGTGGCTCCCGGTGTTATAGATGCTGAGAAGATTCCTTTGGGGATTTTGCTTCTGGCCATGGGCAGGGACCCCTTCCACTGGAGCAGTTTGCTCCAAGCCCCTGTGTTCAACCTGGCCTTGAGCACCGCCAGGGATGGGGCAGCCACAGCTTCTCTGGGCACCCTGTGCCAGCGCCTCAGCACCCTCACAGGGAAGAGCTTCTGCCTAAGAGCTCAGCTCAGTCTCCCCTCGGGCAGGTTAAAGCCATTCCCCTTGGCCTGTCCCTCCAGGCCCTTGTCCCAAGCCCCTCTCCAGCTTTCCTGCAGCCCCTTTAGGCACTGGCGCTGCTCTAAGGTCTCCCTTTCATGCAGCAGAGGGGCAGGATCCCCTCCCTGAGCTGCTGCTCACGCTCTGGGGGTGCAGCCCAGCTCACGGGGGGGTTCTGGGCTCAAGCGTTCACTGAAGCCGGGTCATGGAGAGCTTCTTGTTACCCAGCACTCCCAAGGCCTTCTCCTCAGGCTGCTCCATCCAGGCTCCCCAAGGCTGTGTTTGGGGCAATCCTCCTGAATGGTCTGCAAGGGAATAAAGTTTCCAGTGGCTGATTCCTCCAGGAATACTGTGAAATGCTGGAGCTGTGGCAGCAGGGGCTGTGGCTGCAGCAGCTCTCCCAGGCCAGGTGGCCGTGTTGCTCCTCCAACTTTGGCAGAAACAGATTTAAGCAATCTTTGGGCTGGTTTTCTCTCTGCAGCACCAGAAACGTGGTGGTTCAGGGTCCCAGTGCAGCCAGTGTCTCATTCCATAGCGTCCTGCCTGGGATTGATGCATTCCCCCCCAAGGAGGATGTAACCTGGGAGAGGCAGACCCCTGTGTGGGGCTGACAGTGCGGGAGCCATTGGGCTCTCTGGCTGTTGATGTTTCCTTGGCATCACTTGAAGCTCCAGAGCCGGGGGTGTGGGAGCAAACCTGACTTTGGCTCCAAGTGTGTGGTGTGTTTGTGGCTCAGATGCGAGTATGGACTCATGCAGGAGAAGGGACTGGAGTGCTCCTCGCCGGGAGCAGGGCACAGCCTCTCTGCTGTCTTTGGGCACGTCTGTGGCTCCGTGGTGGTTTAGTTCCTGCTAAATCACCAAAACCCAGGTTTAGCCCCAGCACCGGGGCCTCAGGCTGCAGCTGAGGTCTTTGGTGATGGCTGCAGCTCTGTATGGACACAGGGTCTGCCCTCTTCGCCCCGGAGGCTGCATTCCCAGATGTTGTGGTGGGGATATGGCCGTGTGGGACAGCCCTTGTCCCGCTTTGTGCTTCCAGCGTGCAGGAATTCATGACCTTCACGAGCCAGCTGATCGTGGAGCGCTCGGAGCTGGGCAGCAGAGCCTCTGTCAAGGAGCAAGGTGAGGGGAACGCGGGGCCCCGCGGCCACAAGTGCTGCTTCCTCCTCTGCTTATGATGGGAGATGAGACCTCAGAGGGCACCCGGGTGAGTGGCACCGAAGGGGTGAGGTTGTTGAGCTCAGCCCTCCCTTGAGAGAGCAGCAGGGACCTGCCCCACAGCCAGCAGCCCCCTTGGAGCCACCCTTCAGCCTGTCCCCTGGCCCCACACAGCCTCCTCCTGCCCCTCACCCTTGGGCTCTGCCCCACAAGTGCTGGCTTCATCCTCTGGCCTCTGGGACATGCAGGGTGTGGGCTGGAATCAGCTTAATGACACTGCAGGCTGGTGACACGTCGGTGTTGTTAAAACCAGGCCAAGTGCTTCTCCTCCGCTGTTTGTTCAGCCCTGGCAGGACCTGCTCCCCTGGGCAGGCAGTGCCATGTCCTGCCCTGTGCAGCCAGGCTGCCCTGACCTCCCCGGGCACCACTGGGGACTGATCTGGAGCCTCCTTTGAGCCCTTTCTGCTCTTCTCGTGAGCTGTAGTCACTGGTGGAACCTCTCAGAGCAGTTTGGGGGTGGATGAGCTGCCGGGGCCGGGTGGGTGCTGGGGTTGCCGCTGACGCGAGTTCTGTGCCCAGAGTACCTCTGCCACGTGTACGTCCGGAACGATGGCCTGGCCGGGGTGGTGATTGCAGACAACGAGTACCCCCCGCGGGTTTGCTTCACCTTGCTGGACAAGGTGAGTGTGGGGCTGATGGGGCTGTGCTGGGGACCTCCCTCCTCAAGCAACCAACTCAGCAGTTGGGGGCTGTCAGAGCCGAGTTGAGCCCAAAGCCTCTTGAGCTGTAGCACAACGTGGCTTTGCCTACCAGGACTCAGCCCTTCATGAGCACCCTGTCCTCCCTGTCTGCTGTGGGGTTTATGTGGGGCCAAAGCCCAGTGATTAATGTGTGACAGGGTGCAGTGGGGACAGCCACCCCTCCCTGGCGTGGGCACTGCTGTTTGCTGCGGAACTTGGGTTCTGTCTCCTTCAAAGAGGAACAAGGAGGAGAAAAATCATAGGATCATAGAGCAGTTTGGGTTGGAAGGGACCTTAAGGTCATCCAGTCCCAACCCTCTGTCATGGGCAAGGATGCCTCGCACTAGATCATGTCACCCAAGGCTTTGTCCAACCTGGCCCTGAACACTGCCAGGGATGGGGCATTCACCATATCTCTGGGCACCTGTGCCAGTGCCTCAGCACCCTCGCAGGGAAGAGCTTCTGACATCTGGGATCTCCTGGGTTTGAGGAGAAAACCCCTCCTGGTGGCCATGGCAGTGACCCCCGTGTCCGTGTGCCGCAGGTGCTGGATGAGTTCTCCAGGCAGGTCAGCAGAGCAGACTGGCCCTCAGGATCCCCAGCAACCATCAGCTACGCGGCCCTGGATGGGCACCTCAGCAAGTACCAGGTACAGCCCACGTGGCACAGGGAGGGGGGAGCCATGGGGTGCCAGGGGTGCTGATGTCCCTGTTATTTCTCTCCCAGAACCCCCGTGATGCTGACCCTATGACCAAAGTGCAGGCAGAGCTGGATGAGACCAAGATCATCCTGGTGAGGAGAACCCCCAGGCCACAGTCCCATCCTGCCTTCTCGCTTCTCCAGAGAGATTCCTGTGGGTGCTTCCTGTCCCCTTCGCTCATTCCCCTTTCTTTTCTCCTGTCTCAGTGTCCCAGTGCAAGCACCAGGGCACTCACCCTCCTCCCTTCCCATTGTTATTGGGGCTGGGGTTGCTCCCTCCCTCGCCGGGGCTGTGGGAAGAGGGAGGCTCATCCCGGGATGCAGCAGTACCCGAGTCTGCTCAGTGCGGGTCAGGCCCTGGGGGCCGGTGCCGTGGATTAGCACCAGTTTCCTTGGCAGCACAACACCATGGAGTCACTACTGGAGCGAGGGGAGAAGCTGGATGACTTGGTCTCCAAATCAGAGGTGTTGGGGGCACAGTCCAAAGCCTTCTACAAAACTGTGAGTGCAGGTGGTGGTCGCCCTGTCCCTGAGGCACCAGCGATGGGCTGGGGAGGGGTGGGATAAATCCCTGCGGAAGAGGATGTGTAAAAGAACTGTCCGGGTGGCCGCACACAGAGAGTTGTGGTCAGTGGCTCAGTGTCCAGCTGGAGACTGGTGACAAGTGGGGTCCCTCAGGGGTTGGTGTTGGGACCAATCCTGTTCAACGTCTTTGTCAGTGACATGGACACTGGGATCGAGTACCCTCAGCGAGTTTGTGCTGACACCGAGCTGTGTGGTGCAGGGGACACACTGGAGGGAACGGATGGGATCCAGAGGGATCTGGACATGCTGAGAGGTGCCCAGTGCCAACCTCATGGAGCTCAACAAGGCCAAGGCAAGGTGCTGCCCCTGGGTAGGGGCAGTCCCAGGCACAGACACAGGTTGGGTGGAGAAGTGATCTGAGAGCAGCCTGAGGGGAAGGACTTGGGGTCGTTGGGTGAGAAGCTCCCCATGGCCTGGCTTCAGTGTGCGCTTGAGCCCAGAACCCCCCAGTGTGCTGGGCTGCACCCCCAGAGCGTGAGCAGCAGCTCAGGGAGGGGATCCTGCCCCTCTACTCTTGTGAGCCCCCCCTGCAGCCCTGTGTGCAGTGCTGGGGTCCCCAACATGAGGACATGGAGCTGGTGGAGCAAGTCTAGAGGAGGCCACGAGGACGCTCAGGGGCTGGAGCAGCTCCCGTATGGAGCCAGGCTGAGGATGCTGGAGGGAGGGGCTCTTCATCAGGGACTGTAGGGATAGGACAAGGGATGATGGGTTCAGACTGAAACAGGGGAAGTTCAGGTTAGAGATAAGGAAGAAGTGATTTATGTGAGGGTGCTGAGGCGCTGGCACAGGGTGCCCAGAGAAGCTGTGGCTGCCCCATCCCTGGCAGTGTTCAAGGCCAGGTTGGACACAGGGGCTTGGAGCAAGCTGCTCTAGTGGAAGGGGTCCCTGCCCATGGCAGGGGTTGGAGCTGGATGAACTTTAAGGTCCCCTGAGCCCAAACCCTTCTGTGCTTCCATGGTTCTGAGTATATGCTGGGCAGGGATCACATCCCCTGTGGGTGTGGGACTCCTTGAGACATCCCGTGCCCTGTGGCTGGTGCTGGTCCCAGCTCCGGCGGTTCCCGGTGCTGATCCTGGCTCCGGTGATGCAGTGCTCCTTGCCTGGGGGGCCGGTGCGGGCGGGACGGGGCTCTGCAGCCTCACTGCTGCTTTTCCTTCTTTTCCCAGGCCCGGAAGCAGAATTCCTGCTGTGCCATCATGTGACACAGACCCCACATCTCCTGCTCCGGACCTCCAGCCCTGCGCTGCCCTTCGGCAGGAGCCGCAGCGCGTGCCCAGGCCGGGGCTGGCGGCACCCTCGGCACTGAAGTGACTTTATGGCCCCATGTCCAGGGGCTGCTATGGGGCCGGTGCCCATGGGGCAAAGGGAGAGCACGGGAGCCCCCCCGGCCCTTGCGTATCCCGAGCGCAGCCGGGACCATGGGGCACCGGCTGAGGGCCCCTCCGCATTGCCCCATGGCCTTTCCCAGCACCTCGGGGGGGGGGGTTGTGTCTCTGTGTCCCAAGGGTGAGCCGGGGGGTGGGGAGGGGGGGAAAGCAGAAGCGCTTTCCCATGGTGGGGGGTGCTTGCTGCTGGGATATTATTGCCTGTGCCCAGGGAGGGGGTCGCCTCTGGGTGCCTTTGGTGGTGGTGTGGGATGGGACAGCTGCCCCGGGGGGCTCAGGATGGAGGGGGGGCTGTCCCCTGTTGCGCTGGCTGGGGGCCTGTGTCCCCCCCTTTGACCCAGTGAAACCAGCCCCAGGGCTGCGGTGCCTGCACCGGTGGGAGGGAAGCAGGGCCGGGGCGGGGGGGGAGTCTCCTGCTTCCCGCCCCTACTCCCATCAGCTCGGGGGGCTCCAGCAGCCCCCGCTGCCTCCTCTTCCTCCTGTGGAAGGGGGAGGAAAAGCTTTTGCTTGAGGTTGTCTCGTGGTCAGTGTTGCTGTCGTTCCCGGGCTGTTGCCCGCAGCGCCCAGGCAGGATAAAATTGTCTTTGGCACTTGTTGCCCTGCTCTGGCTCTGTCTGGGTGGGAATCATGGAATCAACCTTGGAAAAGCCCTTTAAGCTCATCCAGTCCAACCCTTACCCCAGCACTGCTGAGGCCACCACCAACCCATGGCACTGAGGCCTCGTCTCCATGGTGTGTGAACACTTAGAATGATAGTTAGGGTTGGAAAGGACCCCAAGATCATCCAGTTCCACCCCACCCTGCCCTGGGCAGGGACACCTCACACTAAACCATGGCACCCAAGGCTCTGTCCAGCCTGGCCTTGAACACTGCCAGGGATGGAGCATTCACAACCTCCCTGGGCGACCCATTCCAGTGCTTCACCACCCTCACAGTAAAGAACTTCTTCCTTAGATCCAATCTAAACTTCCCCTGTTTCAGTTTGAACCCATTACCCCTTGTCCTGTCACTACAGTCCCTAATGAAGAGTCCCTCTCCAGCATCCCTATAGGCTCACTTTAGACACTGGAAGCTGCTTTGAGGTCTCCATGCACCTTCTCTTCTTGCAGGGACAGTGACTGCAGCCCTGCCCTGGGCAGCCTGTTCAATGCCTGAGCACCCTTTGGGGGAAAGAATTGTTCCTCAGCTCCATCTAAACCTGCCCTGGTGCAGCTTGAGGCTGTTTCCTCTTGTCCTGTTCCTTGTTCCTTGGCAGCAGAACATGGGCTCCATCCTGCTGCCTGGCAGTTGTAGGGAGCAGTAAGATCCCCCCTTATCCATTGTTTTTTCTCATAATTTATTTGCAGTTTTCCCGAGACAAAAACGAAATCCGAGGAATCTTTTACACTTACAAGGCTCAGAAAGAAAAGACGAAGGGTTTTGTTTGGTTGTTTTTTGGAGGGGGGCAGGAAATGGGTGGAAAAAGAATGAGAGAAAAAGGGGGAGAAGAGTCAAATTTGGCAACGATCCACCAGCATTCATGGGACAGAAACAGCTCAGCTCAGCTCCTCAACATACAGCGTTAGCGCCCGAGGGTTGCTCCCGCGCAAAGGGCATGCAGAAACGACTGATCAGGATTAAAAAAGAATCATCATCATCATCATTATCATAATAAATACCCACCCACCCCCCACCCCCCCCAGCCCAAACCAGCCCCCAGCAACACGGTGCCTCTGGATGTGGAGATGGGCCAACGGGAAGCGCATGGCCGAGCTGGGGAGTGCCCAGAGCCCCTCCCTGGGCAAGGGGAGGTCGGGGGTGCCGGGGTGTGTGTGTGTGTGTCCCCCTGAGAGGGGAAGGGGTGCGGGAGGGGAGCGCTGCCCGGTGCCATGGGGGGACCCCCGGCGGAGCAGCCTGTGCCCCCTAAGAGACCCGTTCTCTTAGTCTAAAGTGCTTTCGATGCTGCGTCAGTGCTGGCTGGATCGCCCCGAGCCCCTGTCCCAGCCCTGGTACGTGGAACTCGCGCCCCCCCCACCACCCGCCCCCCCCGAGCCCCGTCACCCCCATAAAACCCACCAGCACCCAGAGGTGCCTCTGTCACCGGGTAGGGGACATAGAGGTGGCTGCCAGAGGATCGCCCCCCAAAGGCACCCACCATATCCCCAGCGCCGGGACTTTGCTGGGGGAGTCCCTTGTGTGTGTGCCCCCCCCCCCCCCCAGCAGCCGGGGCCCCCCCATGGGAATTCAAAAATAAAGAGCTCTCTCTATGTACAGGGACGGGGAGAGCGAAAGCGGAGCCCAAAGAACAACATCCACCACCAGCAACAGCGACACGCCACAAGCACAGCCGGGGCCGGGGGGGCCGGGCAGGGACCCCCCTCCCCGCCACAGCCGGGAGACACCCCCAGGCGGAGACGGGCAGAGAGGGGGGTCTGGCCATGGGAGCGCCCCCCCCCCAAGTCCCCGCCTGGGCTGGATCTGGGGTGGGGGTTGGGGTTTCCCCCCCCCCCCCTTTTTTTTTTTTTTCTCTTTTTGGGTTTTTTTGTGTGGGATTTTTTTTGTCTTTTTGTTTTCTGCAAACACAGGCACTGGAGGGGAGGAGCGGGGCGGGGGGGGGGGGGGACGGGGACAGGCATGCGGACGCGTGCTTCGGGGCCGCAGCTCCGGCTGCCGGCTCGGCTCCCATCGCCGGCTCCGTCAGGCTGGAACCAGGACAGCCACCGCCAGCTCTGCGGGGATGGGGGGGTGAGGCCGAGCCGGGGCACCCCCGGTACCCTCCCGATGCCCCCCCCCCCATCGCCCCGGCCCTGCTTTCACCTTCATTCACTGCAGCGGGGCGACCGGGGCCCCCGAGCCGTGGAAGTGGACGTTCTGCCACTTGCCGTCGCGGCGGTGCCACACGCGGGTCTCCTCGGACTGGCTGGTGCGGGGCCGGCCCTGGCCGTCGATGTACTGCGTGAGGCGGATGTAGGCGATGCAGGCGGCGTCCTCGCCGATAACGTGCACGTGCGGGTTCAGGATCGTCGTGTGGATGGGTTTGTTGTTCTTGGAGAGCACTGCGGGGCGGCCGCAGGGTCAGGGGTGGGCAGGGGAGGGAGCGGGGCAAGGGGGCAGCAGGATGGACGGGGCGGCCGTGCGGGCAGAGAGGGGTGGATGGGTGGACAGGCGGCCAATACACAGGCAGGATGCTGCTGGCAGAGCTGGGTGATGGACACAGGCTGGAGCAGGCAGGGGCCAGGGAGACAAGTCTGGTGGGCAGGGGGAGGGCTGGGGACAGGCGAGACAGGTGACAAGACAGGATGGACCGAGGGACAGGCAGGACAGGAGGATGGATGGGCAAGCATGCAGACAGGAGACAGGCAGGGAGATGGGGGGGATGGAAGGGGATGGGCTGGGCAAGGACAGGCAGGACATGGGCAGGGTAGGCAGGGCACAGGTAGGGGGCAGGCAGGGTGCAGGCACAGGCAGAGGGTAGGGTGCAAGGCAGAGGCAGGGAGCACACCAGGTGCAGGGCAGAGGCAGGGTGCAAGCATGGTGCAAGCAGAGGGCAGGCAGGGAGAAGGCAGGAAGAAGGCAGGGTGCAGGGCACAGGCAGGGTGCAGGCAGTGAGAAGGCAGGGCGCAGGCAGGGTGCAGGCAGGGAGAAGGCAGGGTGCAGGGCACATACAGGGTGCAGGCACAGTGCAGGGCACAGGCAGGGTGCAAGCTGGGTGCAGAGCACAGGCAGGGTGCAGGGTGCAGGGCACAGGCAGGGTGCAGGCAGAGTGCAGGGCGCAGGCAGGGTTCAGGCAGAGCGCAGGCAGGGTGCAGACAGGGTGCAGAGCACAGGCAGCATGCAAACTGGGTGCAGAGCACAGGCAGGGTGCAGGCAAGGTGCAGGGCACAGACAGGGTGCAGGCAGAGCACAGGCAGGGCGCAGGCAGGGTGCAGGCAGCGCCAGGCACTCACAGTTCTCAAAGTAGAAGCGGTGAAAGTCCATCCCCTCCACCAGGTTGCCCAGAGCCTCGGGCTCGAAGGAGGTGAGCCCCGGGTCGCAGATCTTCCTGTGGAGCAGCCGTGGGGCAGCCGTGGGGCAGCAGCGGCCACGGCCCCCCTCCCAACCCCCCCTGTGACCCCACTCACGCGTAGGCTTCGAAGTCTCCGTTGTTGACGGCCTCAATGAGCTGCTCTGTGATCTTGATGATCTCCTGCTTACGGGCTGGAGGGCCACCGGCACCATCACCACCCTGACCCCATGCCCTTCCCATCCCCCTCCCATCTTCAACCCTATTCCACCCTATCTCGTTCCCCTCCCCATCCCATCCCTATCTTTAACTCCATCCTTGTTCCCATCCCATCTCCATCCCATCATCCCTATCCCCATCCCATTCTGTCCCTTCCACAGGTGCCCTGTGCTGGAGGACTGGGGACAGACACAGACACTATGGGGGTGGTGACAGGGCCGGTGGGACAGGGACATATCCATGTCCTGGGAGATACTGGAATGGACACAGGGACATGGGACATGGTGAACGGATACATGGGGAGAAGGGATGGAGAGACAGATGGTGGGGACAGATGGACCATGGGAACACACACAGGGACCTCCATGCACCCAGGGCCCTGCAGCTCTGCCCTGCCACACCAGTATCGGCCTCCCCATGGTCCTGTGCCCTTCCAGCACATCCCAGCACCATCCCAGTGCCCTCACAGAACACTGAGGCGTCCCAGTATTCTCTGAGTGCCACCTCACCATGTACTCCCTGTACTTCTCAATGTCAACCCTGCATGTCCCACTATATCCCAGGGCCATTCCAGTGCATCCAGTTTCATACAAGTGTTTCCCAGTGATATCCCACTCTGTCTCAGTGTAATTCCAGTGCATCCCAGTGCATTACAATAAATCCCAGTTCCATGCAAGCGCATCACAACACATCCCAGTGCCATCCTATTGCATCCCAATGCATGCCAGGGCATCCAAAATGTCCCAGTTCCATCCTAGTGCAATCCCACTGCATTTCAGTGACACCCCAGTACATTCCAGTGCATTCCACTACATCTCACTCAGTTACACCCTGGAGTGTTCCAGTACCACTCCTGGGCATCTCGATACACCCCAGTTTCCAACAGCACATCTCAGGGCCATCCCAGGGCATTTCAATGCAATCCAGTGCCAGCCTACTGTGTCCCAGTGCCCTTCAAGCATTCCAGTTCATTCCATTTCCATTCCAGTGTCACACTGTTGAATCCCATCATCCTCCTATTGCATCCCAGTGCCAATCGACTGAGTCCCAGCATTATTCCAGTGGATCCCACTACATCCCAGTTCCATTCCAGCGCATTGCAGTACCATTCTACTGCATCCCAGTACACCCCAGTTCCAACAAGTGCATCCCACTGCTATACCAGTGCATTTCAATTCACCTCGGTACCATATCACTGTATCCCAGAGCCACCCCGGTCCATTTCTGTGTCACCCTCATGTGTTCCAGTGCCATTCCAATGCATCTCAGTGTGACTTCACTATATCCCAGTGTGTCCCAGCGCATCTTAATGCCATTCCTGGGCCACCCCAGTGTTTCCCAGTGCACCCCATGTCATTCCAGCACATTCCTACACAGCCTAGTTCCACCTCAGTATGTCCCAGTGTCATCTTAGTGCATCCCAGTGTCATTCCAGCACAATTCCAACACAGCCCAATTCCATCCCAGTGTGCTCCAGTACTACTGCAGAGAATATCTTTACACTCCAGTCTGCCCCAGTGAATCCCAGTGATGTCCCACTGCATCTCAGTGCCAATCTGCTGAGTCCTAGTGCCATTCCAGTGCATCCCAATGCGTCCCAGTACAGCCCAGTTCTAAAAAGTGCATCTCAATTAACCTTGGTACCATGCCACTGTAGGCCAGCATCGTCCCAGTGCATCCTGGTGCATGTCAGGCCATCCCAGTGACATTCCAGTACATCCCAGTGCACCCTCATGCACCTTGGTGCCATCCCAGAGCCATCCCAGTCTGTCCCCATGCCATTCCAGTGCATCCCAATCCACCCCAGTGCCATCTTACTGCATCCCAATGCATCCTAGTGCCATCCCAGTGCACCCAGTGCTATCCCAGAACATTCCAGTGCTGTCCTAGTACATTCCAGTGCTGTCCTAGCGCATCCCAGCGTCATCTCAGTGCATCCCAGTGCCATCTCAGTACACCTCAATGCATCCTAGTGCCAGCATCAGTACATCCCAGTACATCAGTGCATCTCAGTACACCCCAGGGCATCCCAGAGTCAGTGCATCCCAGTGCCATCTCAGTGCATCCCAATGCATCCCAGCATCATCTCAGCGCATCCCAGTTTATCCCAGTGTCATCCCAGTGCATTCCACCCCCCTCCCAGTGCCATCTCAGTGTATCCCAGTGCATCCCAGCATCATCTCAGTGCATCCTAACGTATCCTAGTGCCACCCCAGCGCATTCCACCCGCCTCCCAGTGCATCCCAGTGCCATTCCAGGCATCCCAACGCATCCCGGTGCAGACCAGCGCCACTTCGGTACATCCTAATGCATCTCAGTGCCATCTCAGTGCATCCCAATGTATCCTAGTGCCACTCCAGAGCACTCCAACCCCAGTGCATCTCAGTGCCAGCCCCCCAGCGCAGCCCCCATCACCTTTGGTGTCCTCATCCTCGATGGTGGTGTTGGTGCTATCGGACGACTCCTGCCAGCGGTGCCGGGGGAGAGACACAGACAGAGAGCAGGGTGAGGCCAGGCCCCACCGGGGATGGGGGGGAAGAGCCTGGCTGGGGCCCGGCCGGAGCCCGGTGACACCGGTTGTGCTGGGGACAAGCCGCCGCCGCCGTCACCCCCTCCCGCCCCGCGCCATGGCTGATGCTGGGGAGATGGAGGCGGAAAGCGGGGCCCAGACGGCCCCGGCGCTACCGGCTGTGGCGGGGCGAGGGGAGGAGAGGCAGCAATACCTTAACGCCGTCCGCGGGGTTATGGATTACCGTAGTTTGAGGCTCCTATGGGAGAAGGGAGAGAGACAGAGGCGGGGGGGGGGGGGAGGGTAGGAAAGGAAGGAAGCAAGAGCCCGGAGGGGGGACAACGGAATTGGGGGACGACGGAGCGAGCGGCACGCGGACAGGGGCGAAGAGAGACCCAGACCGGATTTGGGGAGGGCAGAGGGGGGAGAGAAGCAGAGAGTCATTAGTCCAGCGAAAGCCAAATGGTTTAATTCACAGAAAGACAGAGGCTGGGGGGAAAGAACTGGGGCAGGGGGGAAGGACACAGCAAGAGGAGAAGCTGCAGGGTGGTGGTGGAGGGCAGCCCCGTGCCCATGTGCACTGCACTCCCTGTGCCGGCCGAGCAGCCTTCCGCCTGCTTCCCGCACTCACTGCCTGAGCTGGACATCCCCTTACCTGCAGCCTGCATCCCCCACAACAGCTCGGTGTCCCCATGCCCGTCTCCTGGAATCACGGCACCAGCTGGGCGTCCCCATGCACATATTCCACATTCATGGTACCAACTGGGCATCCCTGTGCCTGCATCCTGCATCCACGTGCCCGTATCCTGGACTCAAGGTACCAATGGGCATCCCTGTGCCTGCATCCTGCATCCATGCACCTGCATCCTGCATCCATGTGCCTGCATCCTGGACTCCCTGTGCCTGCATCCTGCATCCACGCGCCCGTATCCTGGACTCAAGGTACCAATGGGCATCCTTGTGCCTGTAATCCTGCATCCCTGTGCCTGTATCCCATACCCACCTTGCTGTCCACGTGCTGGACCATCCCTGCACCCTGCTCCTGCTGTGACAGCCCCATCCCGTATTCCACACATACTTCACCATGCTCTGGTCCTCTGTGTCCTGCACCCACCTCGTGCCCAGTGGTGGGGTCCCCCCATGTCCATACCCTCTGTGACGGGTACCCCAGGGTGACATCCTGCCACCACTCCAGTGCCGCGGCAGGAGCACTTTGTGCTGTGTTCTGCACCCACCTCACTGTCTCCATTGTGGGGACACCCTTGTGCCCAGGTCAGGAACCCACCTTGTCCCATGGCAGGGCCATCAGGTGCCCATATCCTGCACCCATCTCACTGCACCCCCAGCAGGGGCACCCCCATGCCCATATCCTGCACCCACCTTATCTGTATGGCGAGGGCACCCCTGTGTCCGTATCCTGAACCCATGCTGTCCATGGCAAGGCTGGCTTGTGCCCGTATCCTGCACCCGTGTCACAGGACACTCCTGGGTGCATCCTGCACCCACCTTGTCCACATGGCAGGGCTGTCCCTTGCCCGTATCCTGCACCCATGGTGGTGACACCCCCGTGCCTGTATCCTGCACCCGTGTCACAGGACACTCCTGTACCAACATCCTCGCACCCACCTTGTCCATGGCTGGGCTATCCCTTGGCCGTATCTTGCACCCATCTCGCTGCACCCATAGCAGGGGCACCCCTGTGCCCACATCCTGCACCCACCTTGTCCCATGTCAGGGCATCCCCGTGCCTGTATCCTGCACCCATCCCTCTGCACCCGTGGCGGGGGCACCCCTGTGCCTGTATCCTGCACCTACCTTGTCCCATGGCGGGGGCACCCTGTGCCTGTATCCTGCACCCACCTTATCCATGCTGCGTGGGTGCCCCCATGTCCGTATCCTGCCTCCCCCTCTCCATCCTCATGCCCCCCCCCCTTCATCCCCAGCAACACCAGGGCCAGCCGGACAGACAGACGGACAGGGTGGGGGTGCCATGGCGATGGATGGGATGGGGTGGGATGATGGGATGGATCCAGGGGGGGGGGTCAGGGAAGCACCTACCAGTGCAGCGGGCGGGAGGGTCCCCTTGGGGCTAGTGACGCCGGCGCTGCCTTTGGTGCTGTTGGTCTGAGGCTGAGGGAGGGAAGAGAGAGTTGGGGGGCTCAGTGGCATTGGGGGGGTGACCCCCCCCGACCCCCCCACAGCCGCTCACCTTCACACCATCCGCCTTCTTGTTCAGTAAGCTCTTAGCTGCTGCGGGGGGGGGGGGGGGAAGAGCGTCAGAGGCCATCCCCCCCCTCGGGGACAGGGGACATTGCGTGTGTGTCCCCCCACCCTGAACCCCCACCCCTGGCCCCCCACCCTGATGCCCCCCCAATGTGCCAGCAGCAACCATCAACCCCGGTGTCGGGGAGGGGGAACATGCTGATGGGGGGGTGGCCCCATCCTGGGGTGTCCCCACATGAGCTGGGGGGGGGGGGGTCCCCACCCTGGAGGCCCCCGCGGGGGCTGGCTTACCTTGGAGGAATGCAGAAAGGAAAGCGAGAGAGAGAGGAGGGGGGGAGCGAGAGAGAAACGGGGGAAAAAGGGGGGAAAAAGGGAAAAACATAAAAAAAATCATAAAAAAGACGAGTTGAGTGCAGGGGGGGCAGGGGTGGCCCCTGTGCCCCCCCCCCCGTGCTACCCTGGAGGGGGACGAGGACGGACGAGGAGCATCTCTCACTGCTGTCACTGCTATCGCGAGCTCTGCCAGTGGGTATGGGGGGGACAGGAGGGGGTCACAAGTGGCCTCGGGGGGGGCTGGTGTCACCTTGAGCATCCTCATTGCTCCTCCAAGCTTGGGGACCCCCCCCGCTGGTGTCACAGCGCTGGGGGGTGCTGGGGGGGTGACACGTCCGGTGACAGCAGGGTGACAGGCATCAGCCCCCAATATGGGGCGGACTAATGGGGGGGGGGGGGGCACGACACCCCTGCCCCCCCCTTTGGTGGAGCCGTGTCCCCATGGGGGTCCCTGTCGGGGTGTCCCCAAGGGTCCTGGTCCCTCCTCAGGAAGCAGGCGGGCGCTGAGAGGTGGGGGTTTAAACCAGAGCCGAACTGGGGGGGCCGGGGGGGGGTACCCCGGGGGGGGGGGGGCAGATGGAGCCCTTTGGAGGAGGGGGGGGCCCGGTTTAACACCCGCCGAGTGTTTCGCGGCGCCACGAACACCGGCTGCAGCTCTCAGGAAGCCATGCGGGGGGGGCACGTGCTGGGGGGGGGGCATGGGGCATGCAGCTGGTTTCTTCCCTCCATGCAGCACCGTGTCTCCCCATGCAGCGTCTCCCCATGCATCTGGGGGGGGGGGTACCCTAAATTATCTCCACCTCCCCCCCCCCGCAATGTCCCCATTGCTGACCCTATCCCTGTGCATGTCCCGTCCTCCCACCGGGGGGAACCACAGAGCAGGGCACAGGCACCCAAGCAGCGATGGGGGAGCACAGGGTGTGACAAGGGGGGGGCACAGTGGAATCTCTGTCCCCATAGGGGTGATGCGGGGTGGGGGTGCGATGCAGTGCGGGGGGGGCCATGCATGCGCTCCGATTTCCGAGGAGGGCACCCGAAACCCGTTGGGGGGGGTGAGGAAGAGGATGGAGGGGGGGGGTGAAGGACACAGAGACCAAGCGGGGCCGGGTTGGGGGGGGCCGGGCGGGCCCTTTGCGGACGCGTCTACCTTGTTCCACCAGCCCCAGGGGGGCCCCGGCGGCGGCCGCCGACATGGTCGGAGGAGCGGTGGTCTGTCTGCCCACTGCCGGCAGCGGCACGGAGAGGAGAGAACGGAGCGGAGCTCCCGTTAGGAACGGGCCGGGGGGGGGGCGCTGCGGGGGGGGGCGCAGCCGGGACCCCCGCTTCCCAACCCCAGCAACGGCACCAACGGGGCCGGGCCCTGCTGCTGCTCCCCTCACGCACCCTGTGCCCCCCCCCCCCCCCCCCGGCCCCTACCGGTCACTGCGGGGGGGGGGGGCACGGGAGCGGGCACTACCTGCTGCTGTGTGCGGGGGGCGGGGGGGGCCGCGTCCTGCCCCCCCCTTGGCTACCGCACGCCCCGTCCGCGGCGAAAAAACGGGGGGGGGGGGGGGGAGGGGGTGTCAAAGGGGGGGGTGGGGGGGGGTAAAGAGAGAAAGACAGCGACAGAGAGAGGGGGCGGGGGCACCAGCCTCGGCGGGGGCTGCGGGCGGGGGGGCTGCGGCCCCGGCTCACCCCGGCAGCGGGAGCCCCCCCTTACCTGAGAAGTTCCTCGTGGCCAACATGGTGGTGAGGATGGCGCCCTGCGGGGGGGGGCACAGAGAGAGAGCTGCGTGGGGCCGTGGGAGGGGGCCGTGGGGTAGGGGTGCAGGAGGGTGCAGGATGGAGCCATGGGGTGCAGGAGGGGGCTGTGGGGTCCAGGAAGCGGCCATGGGGTAGGGGTGCAGGAGGGTGCAGGATAGGGCCACGAGGTGCAGGATGGGGCTGTGGGTTGTGGGGTGCAGGAGGGGGCTGTGGGGTCCGGGAAGGGGCCATGGGGTAGGGGTGCAGGAGGGTGCAGGATGGGGCCATGGGGTGCAGGATGAGTCTGTGGGTTGTGGGGTGCAAGGAGGGGGCTGTGGGGTCTGGGAAGGGGCCATGGGGTAGGAGTGCAGGAGGGTGCAGGATAGGGCCACGAGGTGCAGGATGGGGCCTTGGGTTGGGGATGCAGGATAGGGCCATGGGGTGCAGGATGGGGCCTTGGGTTGGGGATGCAGGATGGAGCCTTGGATTGGGGATGCAGGATGGAGCCATGGGGTGCAGGATGGAGCCTTGGATTGGGGATGCAGGATGGAGCCATGGGGTGCAGGATGGGGCTGTGGGGTCTGGGAGGGGGCCATGGGGTGGGGGTGCAGGAGGGTGCAGGTTGGGGCCATGGCACTGTCAGAATGGGGCTGTGCCGGTGGGAACGTGCTGGGATGGGCCCGTGTCCGGGGGGGGGTCACTCTGGGGGGGTCTCACCTTGAGCTTCCTCCGGGCGTTGAACTTTTTCAGACACTCGACCGTCTCCTGCCTGTGCATCATGGAGGCCACGGTGGAGCGTTGCTGTGGGGACAGGGGGGGTCAGCGCCAGCGCCCCGGCAGTGGGGGGGGCACAGACCCACGCCGGGGGGGGGCACAGCGGGGCAGAGGCTGGGCACTTACGCAGACCCACGGGTGCTTGAGGGCCTCGTGCGCTGTGATGCGCTTGGCCGGGTTGATGGTCAGCATCTGGTTGATGAGGTTTTTCGCTTCGGGGGTGACCGTGTCCCACTCGGGTGAAGGGAACTGGGGACACACACACACACAAGGGGACAGCAGGGGGTGAGGCTGGGGAGGGACAGCCCCACGGTGCCTCGCTGCACATCCCCAGCCCACCAGGGGAGAAGTGGCCCAAAGCCTTTCCCCAGGCTCTGTCCCTCAGTAGGTTCCACGGTCAACCCCCGGCACCGGTGACTTACATCGTAGGCACCGGCCTTGATCTGTTGGTAGAGTTTGTGCTGGTCCTCGTCCCAGAAGGGCGGGTACCCCACCAGCAGGATGTAGAGGATGACGCCTGCGCAAGGGACAGTGGCATCAGGGCCAGGGCACGGGGCTGGGGTGGAGGCAGGATAGGTACAGGGATGGGACCAGGATGAAGGGGACGGGACCAGGATGGGGACAGGATGAAGACTGCGATAGGGCTGGGACAGGAACTGGGCTGGGGGGACATAAAATCAGGATAGGGAACAGGGTGAAACTGGGATGGGAATAGGATGGAGCCAGGAAGGTGATAGGATTGGGGCCGGGTGCGGATCAGGATGTGACCAGGAGGGGGATCGGGGAGGCACCAGGCAGGGATCAGGTGGGGATCAGGCAGGGACAGGGATCACCTACCGCATGCCCAGATGTCCACAGGTTTGCCGTAGGCCTCTTTGCGCAGGACTTCAGGGGAGAGGTATCCCGGTGTGCCCGCAAAGCCTGGATGGGATGGGCAGGAGCTGAGCCATGGCAGCATGGATAGGACAGGACAGGACAGGACAGTGACAGGACACGGGCACAAACGGGGACAGGGACAGGAGCAGGGACACAAACGGGGGGGCCAGGAGCACAGACATGGACAGGGATAGGGACAGGACAGGGACAGGATAGGGACACAGACACAGACAGGGACAGGATGGAGTGGGCATTGGACTGGTGCACAGGGATGGAGCAGGGATGTGCTGGGCACAGGGTAGAGACAAGGTGGATACTGGGGGATACAGGGGACATGGGGGGACACAGGGGGCAGGGGCACTCGTGGCACTCACCGAACCAGGCCTGCTGATCCCCCTGCACCTCGATGGCGAGGCCGAAGTCGGCCAGTTTCACTGCAGCCCCTTTGCACTTGCTGGCCAGGAGCAGGTTCTCCGGCTGCGAAGCCAGCACCAGGTATGGGCAGCACCGGGTGCAGGCAGCACCAGGTATGGGCAGAACCGGGTATGGGCAGCACCAGGTGCAGGCAGCACCAGGTATGGGCAGAACTGGGTATGGGCAGCACCGGGTGCAGGCAGCACCAGGTATAGGCAGCACCGGGTATGGGCAGCACTGGGTGCAGGCAGCACCAGGTATGGGCAGAACTGGGTATGGGCAGCACTGGGTGCAGGCAGCACCAGGTATGGGCAGCACCGGGTATGGGCAGCACTGGGTGCAGGCAGCACCAGGTATGGGCAGCACTGGGTATGGGCAGCACTGGGTGCAGGCAGCACCAGGTATGGGCAGAACTGGGTATGGGCAGCACTGGGTGCAGGCAGCACCAGGTATGGGCAGCACCGGGTACAGGCAGCACCGGGTACAGGCACCACCAGGTACAGGCAGCACCAGGTATGGGCAGCACCAGGTATGGGCAGCACCGGGTATGGGCAGTGCCAGGTATGGGCAGTACCAGGTACAGGCAGTGGCAGGTATGGGTAGCACTGGGTACGGGCAGTGCTGGGTATGGGCAGGGAGGGAGAAGAGGACATGGGAGGAAGTAGAGGGGCTTTGCAGCCACCATGGAGCGGGTCCTGCCCCGGGGCGGGTCTGTCCCCCGTACCCCAACAGGTTGAGCCCCCCTCGTGAGGAGCCATCACGGGGGGGTCACATGCACCCCAGAAAGGGGTCCAGATGAGGGGAGCCTCATCCCCAGGGGCAGCTCAGTGACACCCCCCCCCCAGACCCAGGGGCTTGGGGACCCACCGAGCCAGGGCCCCCCCACCCAAGGGACCCCTTGCAGAGGGGCAGACGTACGGATGGGGGGGCTCACCTTGAGGTCCCTGTGGACGACCCCCATCTGGTGACAGTGGAGGACGGCCTCCAGGATCTGCTGGATGCAGTGGCTGCGTGCAAATGGGGGGGGTGGGGGGGGTCAGGGACACGCTGCCCCCCCCACCTCCTGCACCCCTCCTGCCCCCCCAAACCAGCCCCTGGCCCCGCTGCGCCTTGGGGGGAACCCTACAGAAACATCAGTATCTCATATTGGGGGGGTGCTGAGCTTGGCACCCCCCAAACCTCTGCCTGGGGGGGTCACTGCCTGGGGGGACACCCCTGGGTGCCCCTCAGGGGGTGCCCCCATCTTAGCATGGAGCTATGGGGGTCACCCCCCTGGTGCTGCTGTGCCGCCCCCCAGCCCTGCTGCCTCTCGGGACCCCCAGACAGGACTCACAGGGGAGGGACGGGGGATGCGGGCAGGGTGGATGGAGACGAGACAAGAAAGAAAGAGGGAAGGAGCGGGGGGATGAGAGGCTGGAATGGGGGTGAAGTGGGGGGGCCCTCGCCCGGCTGGGGGGTGCTGGGGCATGGGGGGGGGGGGGGGGCAACCTCCCTGCAAGGGGGTGGCAAAAAAAAGTGTGTGTGGGAGGATGACAGAAAAAGGAGGGAGGAGAGAGCCCCAGAGCGGGGTCCCGGTGAGGGCAGCGGGGCCGGGAAGCACAGATGCTCCGGCAGGCGGGGGGCACGGCCCCCCCGGCCTCCCCCGTTATACTGACCTGCGGCTCCCTCTGCACAGGGGCAAAGTGATGGGTGGGAGAAACGCGCTAATAGCTCATGGACACAGTGACTGCAAAACAAAACGGGGGGCGGGGGGCGGGGGGGCGGGATGGCGGGGGGGGGAGGGAGGGATGGGGGTGAAGGGGAGGGATGGGGGAATAGGTGGGAGGGGTTAGGATGGGGATAAAGGGGTGGGATGGGAGAGGAATGGGACAGGAGTGGGGGGCAGGAGGACAGAGGGGCAGGTTGGGGGGCAGCAGGAGGTAAAACAGAGGGAAAGGGGTGCCGGGGGGGGGGCAGCGAGCAGAGGGGCAGCAGTGGGACAGACGGACACATGGACGGACACACGGACACGCACAGAGCCCGAGCGACGCGTGATGGGAGACAGGGAGGGATGGGGGGGACAGGGGAGGACGGATGGAAAGGGGGGGGGTGGGATGGGGACAGGGTGGGGCGGAGATGGGGGAACGAGAGAGGGGGGGAGAAACAATGTTGTGAAAGCCCAGAGACCACGGGGACGGGCACACGGTGGCACACAGGGCACTGGGGGCCTGGCACCGGCATGGGGGGGGCCCTGGGGGCCCCCCACCAGCCACCAGCCACTCCCCACACACGGCGGGGGTGGGACATGGGGGGGGGCCCACTGAGCACCCAGCAGCAGGACGGAGCCGGGGGGGGGGCGCAGGGTAAGAACCACCCCCCCACACTGGGTGCCCCCCTTCCTGCCTCGTTGGAGCTGCCCCATCCATGCAGCCCCCCCCGGGGGGGGGGGGGGGTGTGGGGTGGCACTGGGGGTGTCCAGGGGGGGTTTAGGGGGGTCTGGGTGGGGGCGCGGGGCTCACCTGGCATCGGCTTCACTGTAGTATTCCCGTGCCACGATGTCCTCGAAGAGCTCACCCCCGGTCACCCTGAAACACACGGAGCCAGCGCTGTCACCCCCGGGCATGCCCCCCCCCCCCCCCCCCCCGGACCCCCCCGGTACCCCCGGCCACACTCACAGGTCGAAGACGAGGTAATGGAAACCCTCCTCCGAGATGCTGTCGTGGAGCCGCACTGCAGGGACAGGGATGGGCACAGGGATGGGCACGGGGGCAGGAGCCCACACGTGGGTCTGCGGCATGCACCTAGAGCCAGCGCGTGCCAGCACCCAGCAGGGACCCAAGGCGGGGACCCCCTGTGTCCCAGGGGCACCCAAGGCCGAGACACCCCCCCCATGTCCCCAGGGGCACCCCGCACACCGGGGGGTCCCCGCAGTGCCCGCTCACCGATGTTGGAGTGCTTCAGCAGCCGGCAGATCCGGGCCTCGCGCTCCAGCTTCTGGTGGTCTGAGAGGAGAGGGGTGAGGCAGAGCCCTGGCACCCCAAGAGCACCCAAGCCCCGGACACCCACCACCTGCACCCCCAGGTCCCCATCCAGAGCAGCCACACGTGAACACACGTGGCTCTGTGGGTGCAGGTGGCTGTGGGCGTGCAGCATATATAGGTGCACATGCGTGCAGGTGTGCGGTTGTGCGTGCTGATGCAGCTGCGATGTGGTTGTGCATGTATGGATGCGTGTGCACGTGTGTGGCTGTGCATGCGGGCAGTTGTGTGTACATGTGTGCAGTTGCGGGTGTGGATGTACGTGGGCTTGTCAACGCATGTACACGTGTACAGGTGTGCTGTGTGAGGCTGTACTTGGGTGGATGGGTGAACCTGTGTGTGGCTGTACATACACGCACATGTGTACCTATGTGTGGCAGTACATGTGTGAGGCAGTACATCAATGTGGTCACGCTTGTGTGCACACATGTATCTTTAGGTGTAGCTGTACCTGTGTACAGGTGTACATCCGTGTGGCTGTACCCCTGTGTATGTGTACCCATGTGTGTGTATTCACGTGCACGTACCCGTGTGCCGGGCAGGGCTGTGAGGGTGCACACATGTGCGGGTGTACATACATGTGTGTAACCATGGTGGCACAAACAGCTCACACGTGTGCACACACACGGAGCATCATAGACACGACATGCACACGTATGTGCACAGACACACAGCAAACACACACATCCACGGCCCAGTACACACACGTGTGCACGCATAGAGCACACGTACACAGCCTGCTACCGTGTGCACACACGTCACACACCTGCACACACGCACCCCATGACACACTACAGGCACACATCCTGCTCACGCATGTGCACATACCCCCATGTACAGTGCACATGCCTGTACACATTGCATATGTTGCTCGCACATGTGCACACACACACTTGTGCACTCCCCATGTGTGTGCACCCGTGAACAGTCATGTGCACACACATGTGCACACGCCATGTACACATCGCACATACATGTGCACACACACACTGTGCACACGCACACACTGCTCACACCCATGTGCACCCCCCATTCCACTCACTCCTGGGCATGCACACACACCTTTGCACATAGCACACGCATGTACACACACACGTACACACACATGTACACACACATGTATGCACATACACGTGCATGTACACACACATGTACACACACGTGTATGCACATACACATGCATGTACACACACATATACACACATGTCTGCACATACACATGCATGTACACACACGTACACACACACGTACACACACGTGTACACACGTAGGCATTCACATGTACACACGTACACACACGCATGTACACACACATGGACAACACACACAAGTACACACACACGTATACACACATGTAAACACACACAAGTACACACACATGACACATGTACACACACATGTACACAAAACAAGTACACACACATGTACACACACATGTACAACACACACAAGCATGTACACACAGACATGTACACACACAAGTACACATACACACATACACACACGTACACACACATGTACACACACAAGTACACAAACACATGTACAAACACACATGTACACACCTACGCACGTACACACACACATACAAGTACACACACTTGTACACACACACATACACACAAGTACACACGCACATGTACACACAAACACAAGTACACACACACATGTACACACATACAAACACAAGTACACACAAGTACACACACAAAGTACACGCACAAGTACATACACATGTACACACACATACACACACATGTACACACACACGTACACACACACACGTACACACACACATGTACACACACGTACACACACACGTACACACACACACGTACACACACACATGTACACACATGTACACACACAAAGTACACAAAGTACACACACACACACACAAGTACACACACGTACACACACACGTACACACACACGTATACACACACACGTACACACACACACAAGTATAAACACACACACACAGCTCACACGCATGCACAACCCCTGTGGTGGCGTGGGGACCCTGTGGGGCAGCAGGAAGGAACGGGAAGGGCCAGAGCCAGCCCCATGGAGCACCCAGCAACCTCCCAGCACCACGGTACCAGGGGTGTGATGGGTACCAGGGGTGTGATGGGTACCACGGGTGTGATGGGTACCAGGGGTGTGATGGGTACCAGGGGTGTGACGGGTGCCCTGGATGTGACGGGTACCAGGGGTGTGATGGGTGCCCCGGGTGTGACGGGTACCAGGGGTGTGATGGGTGCCCCGTGTGTGATGGGTGCCAGGGGTGTGATGGGTGCCACGGGTGTGATGGGTGCCCCGGGTGTGACGGGTACCAGGGGTGTGATGGGTGCCCCGTGTGTGATGGGTGCCAGGGGTGTGATGGGTACCACGGGTGTGATGGGTGCCCCGGGTGTGACGGGTACCAGGGGTGTGATGGGTGCCCTGGGTGTGATGGGTACCAGGGGTGTGACGGGTACCAGGGGTGTGATGGGTGCCCCAGGTGTGATGGGTACCAGGGGTGTGACGGGTACCACGGGTGTGATGGGTACCAGGGGTGTGATGGGTGCCCTGGATGTGACGGGTACCAGGGGTGTGATGGGTGCCCCGGGTGTGATGGGTACCAGGGGTGTGATGGGTACCACGGGTGTGATGGGTGCCCCGGGTGTTATGGGTACTGGGGTGTGATGGGTGCCACGGGTGTGATGGGTGCCACGGGTGTGATGGGTACCAGGGGTGTGATGGGTGCCATGGATGTGATGGGTAACACACGTGTGATGGGTGCCATGGATGTGATGGGTAACACAGGTGTGATGGGTACCAGGGGTGTGATTGGTGCCAGGGGTGTGATGGGTACCAGGGGTGTGATGGTTCCCATGGATGTGATGGGTAACACAGGTGTGATGGGTACCAGGGGTGTGATGGGTGCCAGGGGTGTGATGGGTACCAGGGGTGTGATGGCTGCCATGGATGTGATGGGTAACACAGGTGTGATGGGTGCCACAGGTGTGACGGGTACCACAAGTGTGATGGGTGCCCCGGGCATGCCGCACATCCCCATGGGCACTCGGGGGAGTGCCGGGGGGCTCCTACCTCTGGCCGAGAGCTTTTTGGTGTTGATGATCTTGGCGGCGTACTCATGGCCGGTGCAGAGCTTGACACAGCGCCGGACCACCGAGAAGGCGCCCCTGGGGGGGGGGGGGGCAGGGATGGCCTCAGCCCCCCCCGACCCCCAAACCCGGCTCCCCCCCGTGACTCAGCACCCAGGAACGGGGCTGCACTGCCCGTGACTCAGCAGCAGGGGGTGAACCCGGCACCGGGGGGGGGGGGGGGCCTTGACACCGAGGGCCCGTGGATGGGAGGTGCTGGAGGGGAATGGGGAGGGAGGGAGGGAGGGAGGGAGAGCGTGGCAGGGGCCGGGGCAGCACCACGGCGGGGAGGAGGCGCGGGAAGGATCCGGCACCGGCAGCCTGTTGCCATGGGGACAGCGGGTGGCCCGGATGGTGGCGATGGCCGTGGTGGGGATGGGGGTGATGATCGTGGCGATGGGGATGATGGGGATGGCGGCAGCAGTGGTGGTGATGGGGATGATGGGGGTGATGAGGGTGGTGGAGATGCTGATGGGGCTGATGGGGACGATGGAGACAATGATGATGAGAATGATGGAGATTATGATGATGAGGATGATGGAGTGATAGAAATTATGATG